CAAGGAACCAAGACCAAAGAACCAAGTCCAAGGACCCAAGACCAAAGGGCTAAGGTACCAAGACCAAGGACCCACAGAACCAAGTCCACGGAACCAACGAACCAATACCACGGAACCAAAGAACCAAGACCAAAGAACCACGGAATCACAAAACCCAAGCCAAAGAATTTGGGCATGGCCGTGCCAGGGAACAAGACCGAGGAACCCCAGGGCGCGCCCTTGTACGGAAACAGGACCAAGGAACCCCGGGGAACGTCCGTAAGGATAAGGCCGAAGAGCCTCTCAGGAACAACACCAAGGAAAATCCCGTGGAACCTGGCGACGACAGGGTACGGGTACCCACCGGCTCTTCACAAGCAGGTAAGAATTCCCCAAAACGGGGCCTAATTCGCCGAATCTAGGTGCTCAATCCTCGGTCCTTCTGACCCCTTCCAGCGGGAAGAGAAGTGGGAGAATGACCGAGGCAGCGAAAGCGAGCGAGGAAACAAGGAGGGCAGGCTGGAAGGAGGCCGTTGCCAGGCGGGCAGGCGGAGGCAGCGAGGTGATCGATTTCCGAGGAATCGAAAAACTCGGTCCGAAGCATTCGGTCCTCAAAGTCCGACCTCGATTCTTGATCTCCTCCTCCTCCTTTTCCTCCTCCTCCTCGAAGTTCGATCCACGATCCCCCATTCTGAGAGGAGGACAGAACGAGGAGGAGGAAAAGGAGGAGGAGAGGAAGGAGGAGGAGAAGGAGTGGAATGAGGAGGAGGAGGAGGAGGAGGAGGAGGAGAAAAACAAGGAGGAGGAGGACGAGGAGGAGGAGGAGGAGGAGGAGGAGGAGGAGGAGGAGAGGAGGAAGAAGAGGAAGAAGGTGGATGAGGACGAGGAGGAGGAGGAGGAGGAGGAGGAGGAGGGGGAGGAGGAGGAGAGGGAGGAGGAGAGAGGAAAAAGAGGATATGATGATGATGCTGATGATGCCGATGATGACTGATGCCGATGATGATGATGATGATGATGATGATGATGATGATGATGATGATGATGATGATGATGAGGGGGAGGAGGAAGACGAGGATAATGATGAGGATGAATGATGATGACGATGATGCTTGGCTTGTGCTGCTTGTGATCATGATGCTGCTGCTGCTGTCAATGTTCATCATGCCATGACGATGGTTATGCTGATTATGTTAATGATGAGGATGCTGATGCTGATGCTGCTGATGATGCTGCTGATGATGCAAATCATGATCATGATGCTGCTGCTGATGATGATGATTATGATGATGGTGGTGGGGATGATGCTGCTGATGATGATGCTGATGTTGATGTTGTTTCTGATGGTGATGCAGATGATGGTGATGATGATGATGATGATGATGATGATGATGATGCTGATGATGATGATGATGATGATGATGGATGAAGATGAGGATGATGATGATGATGATGGTGATGGTGCCGATGCTGATGCTGGTGCTGATGCGGACGCTGCTGGTTCTGCTGATGATGACGATGATGATGATTATGCTGACTTTGATGCTGATGCTGACGATGATGACGATGATGACGATGATGGTGATAATGATTCTGATGCTGATGATGATGACGATGATGACGATGATGACGATGATGACGACGACGATGATGATGGTGCTGGTGCTGCTGCTGCTGATGATGATGATGGTGATGCTGATGCTGATGACGATGCTGATGATAATGAAGAAAAATGAAACTGGAGATGCAGACGAGGATGCTGATGATATTGATGATGATGGTGGTGTTTAGGGTGATTGATGCTGATGCTGATGATGAGGAGGAGGAGGACGAGAAAGGATGATAATGAATGATGATAACGATGATGTTTGTGCTGCTTGTGATGATGATGCTGCTGCTGCTGATGATGTTAATGCAGCTGATGATGTTGATGCTGATTATGTTGATGATGATGATGCTTATGCTGATGCTGCTGCTGCTGATGCAGGTGCTGATCATGCTAATCATGATCATGATGCTGCTAATGATGATGATTCTGATGATGGTGGTGGTGGGGATGATGATGGTGATGATGGTGCTGATGTTGACGTTGTTGTTGATGTTGATGCAGATGATAAATGATGATGATGATGATGATGATGATGATGATGATGGTGATGATGCCGATGCTGATGCTGGTGCTGATGCGGACGCTGCTGGTGCTGCTGATGATGATGCTGATTTTCATGATGATGACGATGATGACGATGATGGTGATAATGATGATGCTGATGATTATGATGACGATGTTGATGGTGATGATGCTGCTGGTGCTGATGATGATGATGATGCTGATGATCATGGTAATACTGATGCTGATGATGCTGATGATGATGATGAAACTGAAGATACAAACGATGATGATGATGATGCTTATGATATTCATGATGATGGTGGTGGTAAGGGTGATTGATGATGATACGGCTGATGATGATGCTTATTCCGATGGTGATGATTATGATGATGCTGTTATTTTTACTGATAACGATGATGCTGGTGCTGATGATGCTGCTGCTGATGATGATTATGAGGATGAGGACGAGGGTGATGATGAGGATGAGGATGAGGATGAGGATGATGATGATGAGGATGCGGAT